ACTAGAAAGACTCACTAACGTCTGTGTGAACGAGAAAGACTCACAAACTTCTGTATAAACTAGAAAGACTCACTAATGTCTGTGTGAACGAGAAAGACTCACTAAGGTTTAAAACGACATAAACGATCAGAGGAGTCGTGACGTTACGAAGCAAAGAGAGTTAATGAGGAACATTTAACACTTTAATGATTCTTTCTCACACTCTTCTATACAACCAGAGGAGTCGCCCCGTGATGGACAGTAGAGAGAATGCAGCTTTAACTCATGGAGAACCGGAGGTTGTCTCCTGCTCAGTATCGATCGGAGGGTCAGGGTGAGGTCAGAGGGCATTGTTGCAGTGCATGATGGGAGTCTGCCAGGCGGCTCAGCTGCCAACATTTAGACACAAAGCAACTTTAATGAGCTGCTTAACATGCAGCATCTGATGATTCCTGTTAGAAAGATGCTTCTGCAGGCAGTTTGTCAGAGTGAAGGTGACCGAGAGCTGATACACAACACAGCTACACAACTACAACACCACAACAACCACAACACAAACAATAAACTTCACTGGTGAGGCTGCAGCTAATCGTTCTTTTCTTATTGCCAGATTAGTTTATAATAAACGTCGGTCAGCAGTTTTTACAGCTTTGTCTTGTTTTTACTGCAGAAATGAAGCTTAAATCCATTAATCAATGTTTCTATGAAGAAAGACTCAAATTATAACTGAATCTGTAACATGGACAAAAGCTGCATATATATGTATAGTGTGTATTTATATACTGCGTATGCTGTAACCACCTACTGTATGTTAAAAAGTAATATAGTACTTTCCTCAGAACTCTGTTTACAGTGTACACACAGTTTGACTTGTATAGAAACACTTTAGCTTCATGTTTGTATATATTTATATATTTTTCATGTACATAATGTTGTGCCATTAAAGCACCACAGAAGAAGAAGAGGTGACTATACACCATACACTATACATCTCTCTGTCTGTCTGTCTTTCTCTCTGTCTGTCTGTCTCTCTGTCTGTCTGTCTGTCTCTCTGTCTGTGTGTCTGTCTCTCTCTCTGTCTGTCTGTCTGTCTGTCTCTGTCTGTCCTCCTGTCTCTGTGTCTGTCTGTCTGTCCTCCTGTCTCTCTGTCTGTCTGTCTGTCTCTCTGTCTCTCTGTCTGTGTGTCTCTCTGTCTCTCTGTCTGTCTCTCTGTCTGCCTGTCGGTCTCTCTGTCTGTCTCTCTGTCTCTCTGTCTCTCTGTCTGTCTGTCTCTCTCTCTGTCTCTCTGTCTGTCKGTCTCTCTGTCTCTCTGTCTCTCTGTCTCTCTCTCTGTCTGTCTGTCTCTCTGTCTCTCTCTCTGTCTCTCTGTCTCTCTCTCTGTCTGTCTGTCTCTCTGTCTCTCTGTCTGTCTGTCTGTCTCTCTGTCTCTCTGTCTGTCTGTCTCTCTCTCTGTCTGCCTGTCTGTCTGTCTCTCTCTCTGTCTGTCTGTCTGTCTCTCTGTCTCGAGACATCTGGACTGCTGTTATTGAGGAAACATCTTAGGGGGTCTCTACCTGTGGCCCCAGACCTGAAGACTCCCAGAGGAGACCAGGAGGACCAGGTCTGGGTTTGTTTATCAGCAGCTCAATAATAACAGTAAATACTTTATTTAAATACGTTTTAATCTTAATTATGAAATGATTCATTCACATTTAAACAAATTAAAAGTGTTTAGAGATGAAGGACCGATCCTGAACCTGAAGGGTTAAAGCCCACAATGTGGTCTCGGTGTACCACACACTCACACACTCACACACCTGACCCCGCCCCTCCGGACCAGCCTCACTGCAGCAGCGAGTTCTCTGTCCGAGGAGGAAGAAGTTCTCTCAGTTTGTTTCGAAGCGGAGCAGGACGGACCGGGTCCGGAACCAGCTCTAACCGGGTCCTCTGATCCAGAGACAGGAACAAAGGCACATGAGCTTTATTGGGAAAGTTCGGGTCTCTATCGGGCTCGGATCAGGACTTGCTGGTTTACGGTCCTCAGGGTCTCGGTCCTCCGGGTCGGTTCCTCTGGACCCACGAGGTTCTGAAGAACCCTGAAGTCACCGCGTGATTCCGTGTTTTCATTCAGCACGCGCTTCTTCCGAGGACACGCGCACAGACAGACGGCTCGATCGGTTGATTGATTGATCGGTTGATTGATTGACAGGTCATGTGTAGAGTCCTGTTCTCATCATGGACCTTCCTCTGATGATGATGATGATGATGATGATGAAGGTCAGTGAACTCAGTTTATCGATGAAGCTCCTGATCAATGAAAACTGTTTCACAGTCAGCTCATGAACAATAATCAATAAATAGTATCAATAAATCCCTCTGATGTTTCTGATGTAAACTCAATCAATCAGATTAATCAGATTAATCTCCAGTGAATTAGTTCTTGTTTCAATAAACAATTTTATCTTCAATCAGCATCAGAAAATCAATCAATCAGTAAAGGTTGTTTTAATATTGATACTTTCATTGATTGATGTATTTCTTATTGTTTTATTTTCAAAACAAAAGCTCAAATCCAGTCTGTTGTTGTTCCAACGCTTCTTCTTCTCTGCTTATTTGGACTGAGGTAGGATAACAGGGTTCTGTTTATGGAGCAGGAGGTCCAGGGACAGGAAGTCCTCCAGCTGAGGCTCACATGAGATGTGGTTCAGGTTTTAGTTGGAGGTCTAGAGGTTCGTATTCAGAGGCAGGAAGTCCTCCAGCTGAGGCTCACATAAGATCTGGTTCAGGTTTAGTTGGAGGTCTAGAGGTTCACATGTGGGTGACAGATTTCTCCGTCTGCTGCCACGTCTCAGACCACTAAAGCCTTCATGTTCTCACATGGACTACATTACCCATGAGCCTCAGCGAGTCAGAGGAGATAACAGTAACATGAGGTTACTGAATTAATTCCAGTTGCAGATTGTTTTCAGTGTTTATCTTCAGATTGTATGTTTCCTGGTGAAATTCATCGTGGGAGTTGAAGTTCACCTTCTTTTAGCTTCACATCTCATATTTTAATATTGATCCAACTAATAATAATAACTGATAACAGTTTGAACACAGCAGCATCTAGTGGACATCAGAGGAAGTGATGTCACTCAGGAGGCTGCTGATTGGTTAAATAGCTGATTGATTGATTGGTTGTTGTGTTTTTCAGATGTCTTCCAGCAGCAGAGTGACGGAGACCTTCAGAGGGACCAGAACCAGACGTTACGCCATCAACCCTCTGGGACACAAGTGGACTCACCACAACATCACCTACAGGTGGAGATCAATACTAGTACTAATAATACTAGTACTAATAACACTAGTACTAATACATGAAAGTGCCTCAATCAGTGAGCAAATCCAGAACATTTAGTTTGAGATTTTACTTTGTACACACCACAAGTACTCTAGGAGGTCTGGATGAGGTCTAAGAGGTCTGGCTGAGGTCTGGCTGAGGTTTAGTAGGTCTGAATGAGGTCTAAGAGGTCTGGCTGAGGTCTGGCTGAGGTTTAAAAGGTCTGGCTCTGATCTAGGAGGTCTGGCTGAAGTTTGGCTAAGGTCTAGGACAGGGGTCGCCAATAGGCGGAACGCGGTCTGGATCCGGACCCAGACGCCGTTGTATCCGGACCCAGGACCTAAAACCGGTGCAGCTTTTTCAGCCTTTACGGTACTTGTTCAGTGGTGCAGGAAACACACCGACCAATGCGTTGTAAATCACATCACTTGATGCAGCTCAGCCAATCAAATACGAGTATTCTGACAAGTTTCCTGAATCGAGTGAGATGTTCACACACGGGACAGACGAGGAGAGAGGACGAAGAGTAGGAGAATAATTACGTGAGTCAGAGAAGTTATTTCACATGACGAGAGAAAAGTGGTCCGAGAGACCAGAGAGACCAGAGAGACCAGAGAGACCAGAGAGACCCAGAGAGACCAGAAAGACCAGAGAGACCAGAGAGACCAGAGAGACCCAGAGAGACCAGAGAGACCAGAGAGACCCAGAGAGACCAGAGAGACCCAGAGAGACCCAGAGAGACCAGAGAGACCCAGAGAGACCCAGAGAGACCAGAAAGACCCAGAGAGACAATGAGAGACCCAGAGAGACCAGAAAGACCCAGAGAGACCTAGAGAGACCCAGAGAGACCAGAGAGACCCAGAGAGACCTCCTACACCT